AATAAATAATATATAAAAATATTATAATAATATTAGATATATTTAAAAAGATAGTATCAGCTATACTAAACAATATAATACTAAAAATTAAATTATTTTATATTTAAGATTTATTTTTATAAATATAGCTGGTTATAAATAAACTGATTAATCATATATAAATCTAAAATAATAATCATTAAAAAAAATTTAATTCTTCTATTATAATTTTTTTAAAATTAGTTAATATATAATATATTAATTTTATTAAGCTATTTTATAATAGCTTTTATAATTTTTTTAATTTTTTTTCGGATTAGAACAGTAGAAACTAGTTTTGAAATATTATAACCTATAATAATATATCAATAATTTATAATTAATATACAAATTTTTTTAAAAAAAAGCAGCTAGTATTAAATATTATAAATTAATCTTTTAATATTACCCGGAATTATAGTATATAAATTAATATTTTTAAAATATAAATATTCTATTGTTTAAATCTATATTATTATTATAATATTATTTATTTTTATAAAGATATTTTAAATCTATTTTTAAATAATCTTTAAATATTAGTTTTTATATAGAAATAGATTATTATTTTATTATAAATATATTCAGAGAATATTATTATTGAAAATTATTAATAAAAATCTAATAATATAAATCTAGCTAAAAATAAATAAAGCTATAAAAAATACTATAAAATTTTATTATTTTAATTTTTTTATTTTAATCTAGTTAATAAGACTATTTAAATCTAATTTTTAAAAAAATTAGATGAGATTATTAATATTATTTAGTATAATATTATAGTTATATTCTATAGATTTATTTATTTTATAAAGATAAATTAATTATATAATTAACTAATAATTTTATAAGTTTACTTAATAAATATAATTATATATTAAACTAATAATTTTAATTTAAATTAGTTTTTTATATATTATATAACTACCCGGTAATAAGCTTAAAAATATCAAAATTAAATAATACTAAAAAATATATTAGAAATATAAAACTAAATAATAAAAAATATAATATAATACTAGACTTTAAACTAAAATTAAATAAAAAAATAATATTAATATATTTAGTATAAAAATAAAATATCTAATTATAAATAGAGTTAATAGCTGTATAATTTTTTATTATTTAGCTATAATGAAAACTAAGTAACTAATTTAATATTATATAATATAATTAATAATAAAATATATTAATAAATAATATATTAATTATATTATTAATTATAATAATATACTAGCTATATATATAATTTTATTTATTTTAATAAAAAACTATAGTTAAAATATATAAGAAATTAAATAAGCTAAAAAAAACTATAATTAAAATATATAAAAAATTAAATAAGTAAGCTAAAAAACTATAGTTAAAATATATAAAAAATTAAATAAATAAATTAAAAAATTATAAAACTAGTCCAGCAACCGGATATATAATATAAAACAAATTATTTACTATATAACTTTTTATTAAAAATATACTAAAAATTAATAAGCTTTTTTTTAACTTAAAAAATAATATTAATTAGTTTAGCAGAGTATATTATTAAAAATTTAATATTATTAAAAATATTAATAATAATATTAGTTCTTATAAAATATTTAATTTTTTTTAGATTATTTAAAAATTTTTTATAAGTAGAGGCAGGTATTATTTTTTAAAAAAAAATAATATTTAAAATATAATAATAAATATAGAATTATAAGTTTTTTTTCAGCTTTTTTATAAAAAAAAAATATACTAAAATAAATAAATTTTTTTAGATTTTTTAAAAATTATTTTCTTAGGATTTATAAATTATTTTAAAATATTTTATATAAAAAATTAAACAGCAGAAACTTTTTATTTTTTAAAATAATAATATAATTATATTTTATAATATAAAAATAATCTGTAAGCTTTTTTAGTAAAATATTTTTAAATTTTTAAATTTTTTAAATAAAGTCTGTTTTTCTAGTTTAACTAAAATTTATAATATATTATTAATCTAGCTTATTATTATTATAAATATTAAATAATTATAATATATATAAATAGTATATACAGCTAGTAAAATTAATTAAATATTTTTTTATTAAAATCTTTAAAAATATAATATTTTTAAAACACGCTTTTATTAGTATATTATATAATATTTTAATTTTTTAAAATCTTAATAGAATATTATAATATCTTTAATAATATTAATGAATAAACTGGATTATATATATTTTTATTAACTATTAAATTTTATAATTATTTTATAAATCTTTAGAAAATATAATAATAACTAATAAGTCTTAATCTAGTTTTAGTTTATTATTTTTCTAAATAAAGTATCCGGTATCAATGATAGTATAGATTAAAATTTTTATATTTTTTAATTTTAAAATTTAAAATAATAAGAATAATTATTAAATCAGTTTTTTAAAGTTTTTTTAAATAAAAATTTCCTTAAGTATGGTTTTTAAGAAAATATATAATTATATTAAAAAATTAGTTTATCAGCCGTTTAGAATAGATATACTTTTTAACTATTTATTAAATTAAATCGATATAAATATTTAAATTATAATAAAAAATAAAATTAAAAGATTTATAAAATTTTTAAATAAATTTAATTATTAAAAACAGGCTCTGTAAAATAATAAAAAAATAAATAATAGATATAATAAATAAATATAGAAATTTAAAAATAAAATATACAAATATTATTTATAATATTTTAATATTAAATTTAAATAATTTTTAATTAAGTAGCAGTTTAATTTATAGTAAAAATATTTCTAATAATTATAGTAGTTAGGTTTTTAATAGAGAAACTAAAAGTATATAATAAATAAATAAATAAAATCATATTTAAAGATAATAAATTTTTTATATAATTATTATTCTAAAATTTATACTAGTCTTTAAAATTATAAGATATAAAATTAAAAAAAGATTTTTAGAGGCGGTTATAGACTTTAATATTATATTATAAACAGTAATTATCTAAAATCTAAAAAATAAATTAAATTATAATAATTTTTTTAAAGAAATTATTAGTTAAAAATATATTCTTAAGATTTTAGCTGATATAATTATTAAGTATAAAAAAATATTTGAATATATATATATATTCTTTAAGCTAAATATTTAAATTTAATAAAAAATACTATAAAATTATAAGATTTTTTTTAGTTAATATAATTTATTATATATAGTTCTAATATAATTAAAAATACTCAAAAAATACTTAAGCAGATGTAAAATATTAATAAAGTTATTTAAATTATATTTTTATTTTTAATATAGAGTTATATTTTAATATATAATATTTTATTTAAACAACTAATTATATATAATTTTTAAATAATAGTAGTAATATATTACTTAAGATTTATATTTATCTTTTTAATTTAAAAATAAATTTAATAAAAATTAGAATAGTTATCTTTAAACTTACTAAAATTAAAGAGATATTTAAAAAAAAATAAATATAAAAATTTAAAATTTATTAATATAATTACTTCTATTAAAACAGCTGCAGTACCTTTAATAATAAATATAGATTTTAAAATTTATATTAAAATATTTATTATAAAAATAGTAATCTAAATAATTTTAATATATTTAATCTAAACTTAATCTTTTTTTAAAAGTAATTTTTTAAATAGTATTTATTTTTATAAACTAGCAGTTTAAATTGGTTTTTTTAAATCTATTTTATTTAATAGATAAGCAGTATATCTTTTATAATAATAGTATACTAAATATTAGTAAATATTAATTTAGTATTTATAATATATTAGTATAGTTTATTATAGTAATTATATTATTCTTTAGAATATTTATTAATATACTAGGTAAATCTTTCTAGATTATTTAATATAGCTAGAAGTTATAGAATTATTAGTATTTTATTAGAACTACTATTTTTAAAAATAACAACTATATAATGTTAACAAACAGACAATTAAATAATAGAAATAAGAGCTTAGACTAAATAATTTTTTTACTAGCTACTGGATTAAATTATTTTTAAATTTGTAAATAAAATATAGCTTAAAGAATCATAAGCAAATTTAAAAATAAATAAAAGATTAAGAAATTTTATATATTATATATAAGACGGTCAGAAAGAGTAGTAAGATTATTAAAATAAAAAAATAAAACAGATTAAATAGATAAAGTAGATATAACAAATAGAATAAAATAGATAAAATAGATGCTTTAGGTCTGTACTGTGATATATATTTATATATACAAATCGTATATATACAGCTGGTACAGAAAGAGATATCTTTATATCTGTATAAACAGCTGATATAAAAAGAAATATGTTTATATCTATTTATACAGCTGGTATATATACAGCTAATATAAAAAATATGTTTATATGTGTATATACAGCTGATACTGAAAAGATGTAGAAATAGTAAAAACTGTTAGAATAACAGATAATTCAACTGCTTATATAAAAATAATTATAAATAAATAAATAAAAATATCAATATGAATACTAAAAGAATAAGAACAGCAGAAGTAAAAGTATATAAAATATAAAAATAAAAATAAATATGATAGAAAATATAGAAATAAAAGTAGCAGTAGATGTAAAAATAGAAGTAGTAAATACTAAAATTAATATAGGATTTAAAACTGCTGAAAATAATATTATAACTAGAAATATAATTAGTCTAGTAAGTATTCATATTATATTTTTAGTATTTATTATTTTAGCTATATATTTTAGATTATTTATAAAATATATTATAAAATGGTTTAAAATCTAAGATAGACGGCTTGTTATACCCCAAACAGCCTCCCCTCTATGGAAGGTGCGGACGGTTCCCGAGTCCCGAGTCTCCACCACTGCCACTGCTGTAACTGTTCATACTACGAGTAAGTTACCTTGAAGTTACCCTGCCTAAGAGCCAGACGGCCACACACGTGACTGTGGAAAAAGCTTGGCGCGGATGTATTGTAATTCCGTTGGAAAATGATTAGATCCGAGGAAGGTTTTATAATCAATTCTTGAAAATCAGGTCGACTGCGCGAGACGCATATGATTTTTATTGCGGGCATTTGGCACCATGTTGTCAACTAACGATGACGGATTTGATCTACCATCCGCGAAGAGACAGAAGCGAACGGATACGTTGCAGAGCCAGCCACCTGTTCAATTTCCTGGTTCCAAAATATTTTCACCATATCGGGTAGGGCATCGATTGGGCTTGCATGCTTCAACAAAGAATTCACCTCTGTCAAGGATTACCAGTGCTAATGTACATGCAGACACTAGGACTTGTAACGACAAAAATTCCATTCACTTCCGTCCGATTGGGTAAATCCACATATCAGATCACTACGTCTGTCGGACGCAGCTTGCAAACCTACGATTTACAGCGCGGACTTGGCCTAGTTTTTGTGAGCCGACCCCAGACTCCCGACATCATAACGGCAACGATCGCCTGGCAAGATAGGGTCTTCGCGGCATGGGGAAGCCTCCAACCTGGATCTCCAGGGGGCATATGGGTCTTCAAGCGCGGCAAAAAAATCGGATCGTTGGAGCTACCACCCGAGGTCACCGAGCCTATCGACCGGCTGTTGGTATTTGGATCATGGGTGATTGGCAGCTGCGGCAAATGTATTTCAGTATGGAAAAACGCATCGTACGAGCATTATACAACGCTCTTCCCGCAACAGACGAGGGAGTTATCGACAGAGCAGGTCTATACTGGCCAGATTTGCAATATGCCAACGTATCTAAACAAGATATTTGTTGGAAGGTGCGATGGAAAGGTTGATATCTGGAATGTCAAGTCAGGAAAGCTGATTCACTCGATATTGCCAGCGTCGTCTTCCGCTGGGGCTGTGACTGCTCTACAAGCAAGCCCTGTTCTATCTCTTATTGCAATTGCGTACAAGAATGGTTCAATTTCTGTTTGTGATGTGCAAACAGGTCAGGTGGTGCTATCTTTGCGAAGCAATGTATCACGCTCATCCGAAATTACATGTCTCACCTTTCGAACAGACGGGTTGGGTGCAGGCGAAGATGGCCGAGTACCAGGTGTCATGGCAACGGCCTGTGCTGATAGTGGTGATATCACTATGTGGGACTTGAACAACGGTGGCAGAGTATCTGGTGTTCTTCGCCAGGCACATGGGGTTTCCAATGACGATACAAGCTCTGGCGTGAGCCATGTCCAGTTCTTGGATGGTCAACCTGTTATGATTTCATCTGGGGGCGATAACTCCCTGAAAACGTGGATCTTCGATCAGAACCCCTTCTCAAGCACCCCTAGACTTCTTCACTCCCGGAGTGGGCACTCAGCCCCGATAACCGCTGTTGAATTTCTCCCTGCTGCATCTGATGGATCGGAGCTTGGAGGTAAGTGGCTGCTAAGCGCAAGCAAGGATCGCAGTTTGTGGGGCTTCAGTGTGCGCAAGGATAGCCAGAACACGGAAATCTCTCAAGGTGCTGTGGAACACAAATTGAAGAAAATGGCCGCCTCAAATGCGACTAGGAATTCCCATGCTCTATCCGAGGATGGATTCAAAGCATCAGAGATCACTTCTATCGCCTGCTCCCTGAATCGAGATGGTGGGATGGGGACAACAACATCTGGTCCCATTTGGGCCAATCCGACGGTAACAAGGACTGATGATTCTAGCAAGACTGGCTGGGAAAGTATAGTCACTGGCCACCGTGGAGACAAATATGCCCGGACATGGTTTTGGGGCAAAAAGAGAGCCGGGCGTTGGGCATTAGAAACTGGCGATGGCACTGAAGTCAAAGTAAGTTCGAACCAGGCTCGGATCGCTGGTTGAATTTCGCTAATGAGTGCGCCAGAGTGTCGCTATATCACAATGCGGAACTTTTGCGATAATAGGTTCTGCAGGGGGGAGCATAGACATGTTCAACTTACAGTCTGGCGCTCACCGGCAAAGATTTCCGGTTCGAGACTCACGGGGCAACGGGAAAGATAGGCGCACGAGCTCATATAAGCGATCTGACAGCTCTTCGAAGCATTCAAAGGCAGTCACTGGCCTGGTGATCGACAGTTTGAACCGAAATGTTGTAAGCTGTGGTCTCGATGGGAAAGTTAAGGTATGTCGGAATATGACTTTCCGTTCATTAACTTGCCACAGTTGACATCTATATAGTTCTGGGATCTTGTTTCTGGATCACTAGTCGATGAGCTTGACTGGTATCCGATGACATCAATCAATGGACTCCGCTATAGCCGCACAAGCGAGCTCGTTGCGCTTGGCTGTGACGATCTTTCCATCCGCGTTGTTGACGTGGAAACTAGGAAGGTAATTCGAGAGTTCTGGGGGTGTATCGGTCAAATAAATGATTTTTCATTCTCCAATGATGGACGCTGGATCATTGCTGCATCAATGGACTCTACAATCCGGGTCTGGGACTTGCCAACAGGACACCTTATCGATGTTTTCCGTGTTCCCAGCACTTGTACCTCGGTTACTATGTCCTCAACAGGTGAATTCCTGGCCACTGCGCACGCAGATGGCTTAGGGATAAGTCTTTGGTCTAACAGAAGCTTGTTTGTGCCCATTTCCACACAGAACGTGGACGATCGCAAAATTGGCAGTGTTGGTATTCCTGCGTCTACCGTTGAATCCGCATCAGGCGTCATCGAGGCGGCATTTTCCGAAGAGAATGAGGAAGATGAGGTAGACGGCCCATTACCTACTATTGGCCAGCTCAGTGAAAACATGGTCACGCTGAGTGTTGTTCCCAAGAGCAAGTGGCAGACGTTCCTTCACTTGAATCTCGTCAAGGTATTCCTCACCGGACCTCCTATTACAGTACCCAAGGACTTATTTTTCTTGCTCCTGAAGTTCCCTTGGCCCTTCTGACTTACTATTGCACAGGAGCGAAACAGACCAAAGGAGCCCCCTAAAGCCCCTACAAAGGCCCCTTTCTTCCTTCCGAGCCATCATCCTGAGTCAAGGACAGCGGAAACTAAGCCCACCAGCTCCCCGGAATTAGCGATCGCTGAAAGCTCAAGGATCGCAAAGATGCAGCGTATTGGTGAAAGTGGTACCACAAGCTCCAAGTTTACCAATCTCTTGAAGTCTGGTCATATCTCGAACGACTTTGGCCCTTTCATCGAATACCTTAAGTCATTGCCTCCAGCGAAAGCGGATCTTCAAATCAGGTCATTGGAACCCCGAAGGCAAGCTGATCGCTCCGAACTGTCAGACTTCGTTATGGCACTTTCATTCCGGCTTCACCAGAGGAGAGATTTTGAGCTTGTTAATGCTTGGATGGCCGTTTTTCTGAGAGTCCATGCAGATTCTGTGGCAGCATGTTCCGTTGCTAACGACGACGACGACAATGAGCTTTTGAAGAATGCTCTCCTTGCGTGGAGTCAGGCACAACAGCATGAGGCCCAGCGTTTGGCCGAATTGGTGGGATACTGTCGGGGAGTGGTAGGATTCTTGAGGTCTGCTCGTTGAGTTATCCGAATTTATCTCCACAGTCTCCAATATCAGATGATGAGCTTTACATACTTTGTCGTATTTACCCTCCCAAGGACTTCTATTAGGCTTCGTATCTTAGTCAAATACGTAAGACAGTACGAAGTAAGATGAAGTAATAAGTAAGAGATGTTCATTGGTCTGAGAGAAGCTCGAACATATTTTGAGGCCGTTGAGGCCACGGGCGACTTATTACCGTCGGTATGCTATTGGTTAACTTCGGGTCCCCAGATTTCAGGGTTTGTGTGCCACCGGACACGGACTGTCTTTCTCTCCTTCCATGGTCGTCGCTGCTTTCACCCCACAACAGTATCGCTTGATTAATGGCATTCTTAGCTGGGAGGTTCGCCGACTCTTTCTTCATCTCATGTGCTGATCTCATCAATACATGTAGCGGTGGTAGACGGGCTAAAAGCGCAGCTGCTTGAGTCATTTGTCGGTCACATATCTCTGATATACCAAGCAATTGTTTAAGGATCCTCAACGAATACAGCACGGATTGAATCTGGGCTAGAATGTGGACATCGTTCCAGTCCAGGTGGTTGCTCATAGACCCATGGGCCAAAAGCTGCATTAGCTGGTCGAGGTTTGGAGTTTTAGGCGTCGACTGCAGTCCAAATATAGTATAGAGGGCAAAGGTCCTCCAAAAGACCGGGCAGTCAACCTCCATACCAGTCTTTGCCTGGACGACATTAAGTTGGTCAAGCAAGGATTGAATTTCTGCGGATAACCAAGACCGGTTCTCGAGGGTAATCATGTCGGATGTAACTCTTCCACCTCGCCTGATGTGCTCAACAATGTACTTATGCCTTTTACCTATCGGTTGTGTGAGATTGAAAAGAGAATAGCCTATGACTCTAATCACACGCCCTTGCAGCCAAGCACATTGCCGCTTCGGATCCTCATTGAGCATCACGAGATACATATTCAATAAAGCATCGTGTGAGTAGGTCTCTGGGAAAAGATACTGAGAGACCATTTCTGAGACCCTGTTATCGAGTGACTGGGGATAATGTTTTCCTATATCATCGACAAGGATGTTCGGAGAGGTCTGGTACTCCTTCGCAAAGTGAGAATAGCCTGGGACAGGATCAGGGGCCATGTCAATGATCTTTGATCGCTGAATAAGCTCTCCCATTCCAATCCTAGGATTTGATTGCAGCTCAAATGCCAATGGCAACAGTGATTCCAATCCCAGTCGGCGCGCGACGGTATTCGGGCAAATGCCTTGGGCTGTAATTGAGTTGCCTGGATCTGTGCGCGTCCAGCTCATGGAACTGACAAGGATAACGGATCCTGTTGAGCCTATATCGTACAAGAGCAGGTCAGAATCATTTGTAAGGATCGAACAGGCATTTCGCTTGGCTAAATGGGCACAGTAGACGTCCGCCTCCCCTGGGACCATGACGGTTACATCAGCCCATGGCAAACTTGCCAGACGGTTTGCAGCCATACGCAAGAATGAACCAGCCGGAAGGGCCTCCAGAATGTTCTCCTTAGACCAACGTTCTCGTAGATCTTCATAAACTGCAGGGACTATAAAATGGTTTTCTGGTACCAGTGTAAGACTTGCAGGTAGGGTCCTGCTTTGCAAGACATTTTCCCACCGATTGGCTGTCATCCTTTCCGAGGCAAAAGATGCACTCAGACAAGCCGAATGGCTTATTCGGAAAGCCTCGAGTCTTTTCCTGGTCTTCTCCAGGCGAGCAAGGCGTGTCAACTGCTTTGATGGAGGCAAAGCCCCGTCGAAGCATAGTTTTTTTCTAACAGAGTACGTGATTAGTTGGAATGATCTCACAATAAACTTTCGTGCATACTATACATCGTCACGCCTAGCGACGCCAAATGAAGGAGGGATATCATAACCCCATGGCTCACTTCATCGCAAGTTGGTTGTATATCAGGATAGCAAAGATCGGGATTTGACCACGATAGCAGGCGATGGTAAACATGGTAGACAAGGCTAGGCCCGTCTATTACCACAGCTTGCGCAGTGGCTACGCCTGGACTCGGATGCACTCGATCTTGTAGAGATACTGTGTCTAGGTAAGGCTCTAGATGTTGTTTTAGCCGTGATATACCCATTCTGCTTGAAGTGACAAAAAATGTAGTGGTAGTGTTTGAGTAATAATAATGATACCAATACCCATTGCTGCGGTGCTGTGTTGGTTTAAGTTACAAGTGCTGTTGCCTCAGGCAATAAGCTTACTTACTACACTGTGATAATAATGGGAGTGTAAACCTCTGTATTTAGTGCGAGGTATACAAGCTGAGTAAGTCTATTTAAAGAGAGTTAAAGTTGATTATCTATAAAAGGGAGTAAATCTTCATTATAGTCATTATTTTAATATTTTAATACGTAGATGTGACTGCTATTTCTTGAATTGTTGTATTAAGGTCTTTATGTAAGGGCCAGCCGGGCCAGTCTGTTATGGATTAAGCGAAGTTGATGATTAAGTAAGTTGAATAATTAAGAAAAAGGAAAAGAAAGTCTAAAGAATTAGTAAGACCGAAGTCCTACTGCTAGAAGCGGTAACTAAAACAGTACTTCTTGCCTTCGGCACCCGAAGCATTCCTCCTCGGCTCGTTGTGGCGTATTTCGTGGTTGCCGATACTACTGTCTTTCGGCTTCCGCCTCCCACACCGCCTACAGGTATTCTTCGGTCTTGCTGATTTTCTGATTTTCGTTATTTTATATAATCAAGCTTACTCTTATATATATACTTATATACTTATTATACTGCTATAATTAGTAGTATACTCTTTTATTCTAATCATTTAGAGTATTATCTCTGTGGATTAATTATTATATTATTTTTTATATATTTGCTTTTTGTTTATAAATATTTCTTTATTTTTTTATCTGCTGGTTGCTGAATATTTCTATATTTTTTGTATCTTCTATTTTATATATTTTATATTAATTAGTTCTTGCTATTTGTGTTTATTTTATATATAATATTAGGAACTACTTAATGCAGTAGACATGCTGGTTAGATAAGACAAGCAAGATAATTAAAAACAGTCTTCTATTTATTTTTAGAATTAATTCTTAAAAAATCTTCTTTTTAAAAGATTTTAGAATAATATATTATATTAAAAAAAGTAAATAATATAATAATATAAACATCCGGATTAAAAATCTAATAAATCTATATTAATCTAGAAGCAGACTACTATAATAATAAATATAAACTATTATAATAGTAAATATTATATAATAATTATACTTCTCTATTAAGCTGAATTATTTAATATAATAGTATAGCTATAAATAATTTTATTATTTTTTATTAAAAATTCTTACTAGTAGTATGTTAGAAACTACTTAATACAGTAGACACACTGGTTAGGCAAAATAAGTTAAATAGTTAAAAACAGTCTTTTATTAATTTTAAAACTAATTCTTAAGAAATCTCTTTTTTTAAAAAACTTTTAAACAATATATTATATAAAAAAATAAATAATATAACAATATAAATATGTAGATTAAAAGTTTAATTAATCTATATTAATCTAAAAGTAGATTATAATAATAGTAAATATAAGTTATTATAATAATAAATATTATATAATAATTATATTTTTTTATTAAGCCGGATTATTTAGTATAATAATATAGCTATAAATAACTTTATCATTTTTTTTAATTGAAAATTCTTACTAGTAATATTTTTTAAATAATAAAATTTAGTATTATAATAGTAGAAGAATTATCTAGTAGACTATATATTATATAAATCAAAGATTCTAAAATAATAAAAACAATATATCTTTTATTAATAATGTAATTAAAATCTAATATAAAGTATATATATATAAAAAATTATTATATTTTTATTTATATATTTTTTTTATTATTTTTATTCCTATTTTTATTATTTATATAATATTTATCTATTAATTTATTTTCTTAGAACTATTATTTTTATTATTTTTTAATATAATATTAATAACTATTTGTTATTATAACTAATATATCTATTATATTTAAATTTTTTTATTTATATTATTTAGAAACTAGTGTTAAAAAATTTAATATTATTAATATAAAAGATTTTATATCTAGCTATATTTTTAATATTATAATATTTATAATATAGAAATAATATTCTAGCAAAAATTAGATTTATTATTAAATATATTTTAATAATTTTATAAATAAATTTATTTAATCAATAAAAACTAGACTTGTGACGGTTTCAAGGATTTTAACAAGTATGATTAATTATTTATTATAACTAGCTATTATTATTATATATATATTTTCCGAAAAGCAGCATAAGAAATAATAATAATCTACTGTTTTTTATCTTTTCTAATATTTATCTTACTATAATAGTATCTTTCTCTAAAACTAATAGTATTTTTATTATTATTCTTACTATTATTTATATCGACTCTTAATAAAACATATATAGATTAGATAATTTTATTTTAGTTTATAAGCTAGTTATTAAATTAATTTAAATTATATTATACTCGGTTATATAGACTTTTTTAATAGCTTTAAAGAATTCGGCGGTAATATAGTCTTACTTAATTATATACTTATTAAAATCAATATTTAAATAATTATATTCTATAGTAAGATTATTATACTTAATTATATACTTATTAAAATTAATAATTAAATAATCATATTTTATAGTAAGATTATTATATTTAATAACTAGATAAAAATATTATGCAGTAATATTATAATAATTAATATAGGTCTTTTAAAAAACTCTATAGATTTTTTTATAGTTATTAAACTATTTATTATATTTGAGTGTTACTATAGTAATATTAATAATTACTTAATTATATTCTAAAATTATCTTTTTAGTAGTTTCCGATTTTTTAGCTAGATTTACTTCTAATACTTAAAGTTTAATTTTTATTATTTTAATTTTGTTAATAAATTACTTGTTAACAGCGTCTACGGCAGCCGGATTAGTAGTATTAGCAGTAGACAGGTTAACAGTATCAGCAGTAAAGCAGACAGCTGCTTTATTAGTTTACAGTTCTTATAGAAAAGTTC